AGACTCACCCTTTGCGATAAAAATTTGGTTTTATATTCATTTTCATCCTCCCCATGCTATAGTGATTAAATCGATGCAGCATTTAATTAATAATTCAGATGTTGCATAGTCGATGTCACTCTCTTATATTTTTTTATCATCATTATGGATGGTGACACAACGTGTGTGTGCACTAACGTATGTATCTATTGTTATATGGTTAACATATCTTTATGTATCATATGTTGCTTATGTTCAACACGAAGTTGACTTGAACTGGACATAAAACATTATTGCTCAACATAATTGTGTACGATAAAGATGCTGCAATATATCACCATTTGCGTCACTTCTTTATGTAGGGGAAGAAAACGGAGAAAAATTTGTATTATGCAAACCATTGATGCTCATATCTCATTATTTGATTCAATGGGATGAATTTTTTAAGGCATTGTAATATTTTTAGGATTAACTATTTCTTTGTGTGCTAAGGATGAGTGACGTTTTTGGGTATTCTTGAAAAATTTACGCATGCTTGTTGCTGATAATTTGTACAATTATCGGATTTGTAAAGTGTCAAAATTATTGAGAAATAAACAGAGGTCGAAGCCGACATGAGTTCGCTCCGGTTCGCTAAAAAACCGATTCGATAACCGGTAAATTTGTATAAAATGTTGTACTTCACAAGTGGCAGCAGAAAAAAATCTATTCAAATTTGAATCGGTTTTTTAGCGAACCGGAGCGAACTCATGTCGGCTTCGACCTCTGGAAATAAAGTTTATGATTTAAAATTTTCCATTGAATCCGTTTAAAGTTAAATTTTACAAAACTGTTTGAATTTGAATTCTAAAGAACCGTTTGAACTTGAATTCTACAAAACTGTTGTAATTTAAATTCTACAAAATCATTAAAATTTGAATTTTACAAAACCGTTTAAAATTGAATTCTACAAATTTGTTGAAATTCGAATTCTACAAAATCTATAAAATTTGAATTCCAAAATACCGTTTAAATTATAATTTTACAAAACCAATGACATTTTAACAGTGTAGTAATTTAAATTCTACAAAACCGTTAAATTTAAATTCTACAAAACCATTAAAATTTGAATTTAATAAAACCGTTTAAAATTGAATTCTACAAAACTGTTGAAATTCAAATACAAATTGATTGGAAATCCCCGTCCACCAATGCGAAATTTCTGGGTTTGCCTCTGACTCACTTCAAAATAAACAAAGCATTGAACTGTCCCCAAGCAATCAACATCTCACCAAGAATCATACGCAATATTTTAATTCATTAAAGGCTTCAACTGCAACGTGATTCCAGGCATTCTTGTTAACAAATCTATATATTTCTTGTTAATTGTATTATAATTTATTTTCATCTCCTATATTTATCATCAATTCCCCCTTTATATTTTATCTACAATTCCGAATGACGCACGAAGAGATTTCACAGTAAGTATCATGTAGTGAGAGATATAATTTGATCGTACTTAGCAGCACATACATTTTTTTTGTGCTAGACGTTTACTCTCAAGAGAGTCACGTGTTGAAAATGCATTTTTGTTTGCGGCATAACGTCATTAAGTTATTATTATTATTATTAAAAATTGTTATCCCCTCGTATTTTTAGCAAGCATTGTGCCGATCCTTGAGTGTATTTGTTCTAACCTTAAAATACATGAATGAGAGAACGCAGAATATCTTAAGAATGGAATAAATAAATAAAATTATATTGTAGATATGAATGAAGGCCATTGAGATACATATAATAATAATTGGGATAGCAATATGTGCACAAATAAATCAAGAGACCATAGACTTACACATCATAGAAGCAAATATCATTTGTTATAAAGTCAATAAAAGCAGAAAAAAGGCGATAACGATAAATATTTTATATTATATGCCATATCTCTTCTTTTTTTTGCTCAATTGGCAGTTTCCTTTCGATATGTATACATTCTTCTTATTTATTTATTTATGTGTGATATTTGAAGCCGACACTCTCTCTGACTCTGATATTTGTAGAATCAATAGATCCAGAATAGAAATGCCGAAAAAATATCAAATTACAAGAACAGAATAATCATCACCAAACATAATTTTGTGGAAAGTTTAAAGTGTTGACTCATTAGAAATGAAAAATTGTATTGTTGTAAGAAAATCAGGAACAAATTACTTATTATGTCACTCATTACTTCCGAGAAATTTTTCAAAATTTTCGAGTAACCAAAAATCTCTCTTTTTTGTTTCAATTTCCATTTCCTGTTGTTTATCTATCCGACTGTAAGTAGATCTAAGTCCTTCTATGCTATGTGCGGGCATATTTTTGGAGACTCGTTTAGAATAATAAACGGAAAGTTTTGTTCCTTCTTCCTTCTTATGATGCACAGTTGTGTCCTTTGTTGTGTCAAACTGGTTTTGATTTGGTCAAATTATTGATTTAGAAGTGATTAAGCTTTTAATGTTCAAAATTTTCCCGCACTTTTTTCGAGAAATGTTTACAAAATAAGAACATTTTGAAATTGAAATTTTTGGTCTGGTTACAGAGAATTATCGAAAGATAATAATCTAAACAGCTTTGCTCACTCATAATTAGAAATTTCCAATCATTTTAAAAGATAATTAATGTTTAACTAAGACAAAATTTGAAGATAAAGTTCTGATATGGTAATGTAAACAAAATAATTTCGTAAAAACACATTTTTGAATTAAAAGTAGTAATGTGATACGTTCTATTAAGGATTGACTAGCTTTTCTTCATTGTTTCTTAACATAGCATCAATTCTATCCTACACTATATCATTATCTAACACAACGACCAGTATTTTACTTAAATTTAAGGATTTTAGAATCCAAACAATCCTTCTATCCAAAACTGCATCCACTTGATCACATACTCCTATGACTGGACAAATAAAAGCCAGAAATAAAATATTAAGAAGCATGAAAAATAATGAGAAGTCAAATAAAAGTCGATAAACAAAACAAAAAATTCATTTTTAGACAACTTTTAAGAGAGATATACACAAAAATATATATGAACATCCACTTCTTTGTGACTTGCTTGATTGAGCAGGTGTTTTCAGATGCTTTAGATACGAAATTAAAATAAGACAAAAATTTCGGGAAGGCGTAAAAGAAGACAGAGAAGAATTTTTTTAGCTGCTGATTATTTTTTTTTCCTCTTTTTTTGGAATCTTCTTTCATCGACAATAATATTATATTCTGTCTTTCTCGGCTGCACTGTCAAGAGTGGCAAGATTTTTTTTTTATGTATCATATTACGCATAATGTCTTGTGGAACACTGGAATTTTAATTAGCAATTACAATAATTAAAGGTACACAAAATTTATACAGGAACTGTAAAAAGATGTTTTAAAGCTCTTTTTCGAGTGTCATAATTGCAAACTTTACACTGTAATTTTAATTTTATGATTAAATATCTCATGATTTTATGGCCCTGTATTTTATTGGTACGACAGCTTTGTGAGGCTGCACATTGATGTTCATAAATTGGACTGCTGTAGTTTTATCGACTAAGATGCTCATTTATTAAATTAGCTGAATTTCTGAATTATCTTGACTTAGCTGAATTGACTTAATTTAACTAAAGAAGCTGAATTCGCTGAATTAGATTAACTCAGCTTAATTAGCTTAACTTAATTGAATTAGATGAATTTGATCAAACAAGCTGAAATCATCTGAATTCTGAAGAATAAACTGTTTTCAGTAAAATTTGCTGAATTCAGCGAGATTAGCTGAATGTAAATTCTAAACAGAACATAACACATTGAAATTTCAGTTGAAAAATTTCACAAATCAGCTTCATCTCATTTTGATAGAATTTTATATCCACAACACAAAGTGAAAAGAGCATCGTTGATGCCATCAGTTCCATTAAATTATGTCTCAATCTCGGCCAGTATGGTTTTTTATAGCTGACATAGAATTTTTTTCAAAATAAAATCGTCTGACTGACAAAAAAGATCAAATGACAGTAAAAAAGAAACGAAAGACAGAAAAAAAAATCTTGAAATGCGTTGAGCTCGCGAGACTTAATTAAGTCAAGTGTGTGTTGAATCGCTTTCTCGGTTCATTAAACAAGATCAGAGAGGAAATTAAATGATAAATTTTATGATACTTTTGTGTATCTGTTGACAGTTTTAAACGAATTGAATGTGCCTTTCTTTACGATTCTCAGTCAGCTCAGCGAAAAAAAAAAATCATGAAATGAGCATTATTGCACTTTACACGCTTGAATTATTGTGCACGGCAAGTGCAGGTTAATGGGCGCCTTGTAATAACAATTTTATTCTCCTTCTTCTTCCTTTCCATTCGTATTTCTTGCCTCTTTATAAGTTTCATAAAAAAAAAAATTTAAAGCGTGTCGACGTTTCTCTCCTTCTGTCTTTATTCTGTCTTCCTTCTCTTGCGCGCCTTTTGCCGGTAATCTTCTCACATTACATTCAAACCAGATATCCATAGCCATGCATGCAGTTTTTTTTTTTACAAAAAAACATATGTTTCACGAGTTCTCTCGCTCAGAACCATCTTCGGATCCTCTCTCGTACTCAAAGTCTCTCTCTTACTCTTTATGTCTAGGAAAAAAAAGCCGATTGCTCATATTTTTCTGAGCACGTTGCATTAACACACAATATTATTATTATTTTTTTTTGCCTTACTCGAGAGCATGCTTCTCTGTTTTTCAAAGTCTTCATACAAGTTTTGTTCACTGAACTGAACAGACGTACGTTTCTAATTCTCTTCAGATATTAAAAGAAAATATTTATAAGAAAAATTTCTTTATAAAAAAGGAAGTGAAGTGACTTGAATAAAATAAATAATTTTGTGTCATAAAATTGACAAGGAAAATTTTGTGTGAAAAAGTGAAAAATTAATTTTCTTGAAAACCCCAAAAAAAGGATTAAAAATTTTTTTTGACTCAAGAAAAAAATAAAGTTTTTGTGTAAATGAAATAAAATTTCAAAGCTTTCAAAAAAAAAGGATTAAAAATATATAAAAAATTCAAGAACTCAAAAATGAACTCTATTGAAAGAATGTACCCAGCTATGAGTGCAGAAGAGTTATCAAATATTATTTTAAATGGAAAAGGTAGGTGTCATTATAATTTCTAATTTTTATTTCTAAATTTGTGTTGAAATTGAATTTCAATTAAAGTTTAAAAAAATATCATTTCATATTGTGCATGTGAGAAAATCTGAGAATTTCAATTTTAATTTATTCGACTCAAACCTGTAGTCACATGGAGCGGCGCTACACCTTAATTTACATGTGATTATCATGCGTCTAAATTCAGAAATTCTAAAAATATTCCTCTTTGATTAATTCATCATTTAATGGCGTTATTTTTGTGTTGATCATTAGTCACGGATTTATTGGCATCGATAAAATATTATCTCTTAATCTTGATGGCTCTTAATTGTCCTTTTTTGTCCTCTGCTACTAGCTACCATAAAAATATCTTTCAAAATAAATTTTCCGCTTATTTTGCATTTTTTTGGACGGGGTTAATAAATTATGGATTAATGTTGGATTTTGATTTTTTAATCATCCAATAAATTCAATAAACCATCAAATTTAAAAAAAAAAATGTGTAACTTCCGACAAAATCAAAATCAGCTCATAAGCTTCAATTCAAACCATCAGTTTTTCATTAAAGTAGCAGAAAAATTTGAATTTCATCATCTTGATAAGTTTTTAATTCAATTCTGCTGGTTGCTGTAAAATGAACAAGCCTACCAGTATCACTTGATGAAATGATTAAGCAAAAAATACTTTTTCAGGCACAGAATTATTTTCAGTGTCATTTCTCGCAAATCTCAGCCCACGAAAAAAAAAAATTCGCGATAATAATTAAGATTCTTAGTTCTATTTTGCCATGTCATGGCATCTTGTTTTGACTATAAAACTTATAGTTATTGGATATTCTCGCAAAACGAATGAGGCATTTATGTCGCGGACGTAGAAAAAGAAAGATGTCGTTAACGATTATGACGGAATATATGTTTGTGTATATGGCGCTTAGCGGTTTCCATTCAGTCATCATTAACGATATTCGATGCGCAAAAGAACAAAGTAGAAAACAAATTAATTGTGAGACGAACTTTTTGATTTTTGTCGCCAAAAAGATAATTTGTTTTCTGTGTGCTGCTGCTAGTGCTACTTAACCGCACAATAAAATCTAACAATTATAAGCAACTGCGCCAATAAAGATCAATAAATCACTCGTCCGCGGAAGAGAATGTGAAAAAAATCGCATAACTGCCAATCAACAATATGAATTCAATTAGAATAAATTTAAATCTATGAATATTTTTTTTTGTGACGTGTTAAGTGTGTAAATGAGTCATATTATGCCTGATTATAAGCGATCCAAAAGTATTCTTTTATCGTACATTAAATATGGAAGAAGAAATAAAGTAGCAGCAGCAGCAGTACTAAACGGCTAAACTATAAAAGTTATAACAGACAATTCAAGTGATATACGCCACACCGCATTTATAAGCTTTTTCTGCTGCTACTGCTGTTAAAAGAACGAAGAAAGAGAGAGAGAAAATTTATGAATTTCAATATTCCTACTTCGAGCTATATAAAATTGGACAGCACAGATGGCGCCAAGAAATGGAAAATATATGCGAAAAGATGGAGAAGCCTACACATTTGGCTGTTGCTTGCTACTCCTAGATGTATAATTTTATTATTCTAGAAATATTCTCTCTCTCGTACTTTATTGTGCTATATTACATTTTAGATATCATCATATGGCAGGAATGAGAAATATTCATAAATATTTAAAAAACTTCTTCTTTTCGTCTATCGATTGGAACAGATTGAAATTCTGTTAATTCTGTGAATTATTGCAAAAATAACATTTATAATCAAATGCTTTTAAAATGCCAACTGGCTTTTATGTCATTTGTATTAATTGATTGGTGATAAATCGGGAGATTAAGAGTTTAATTCATCCATTTAGACTTAATCTTTGTGATTAGAAATTATGAATTCTATCATCTTGTCGGAAAAGTTTTTATCCTCTCGGAAAAATTTGAAGCTAGATTATTAAGATTGTATCCTCTTGGAGCAAAAATTGTACCATTTCGGTAAATAATTCCATCCCCTCGGTCAAATTTTAATAAAAAATCAATCAAAATTCAACAAAATTAAATCATCCAAAAAATGTGCAAATCCAAAACTTTTTTTTTTATCTCAATGAATGAATAGCCACAGAATCCCGCTGACTGAGTACATTTAACGATATACAATAAAGAATTGTTTTCCATTTCAATGAATCAGGCGATAAGTGTTGTTGATGACGATATCGCTTTTTGAGCCAGTCAGTACAACTTCTCATGTTTAATATGCAAGCCAATGCACCGCAAAAAAATAATGAAAAATAAAAGGAATATGAATAGAAGCTGCTTTTTTTGTTTATGGAATGTCGAGTGACTATTGTTTGTAGACTCAAAATAAAAATAAAGAAATTCTTCGTCGAATTAAACTTAAAAATGGATGAAACAAGGTTTTTTTAAAGATTATAATGTGCATGAAATGGCAATAAAAAAAGGTCCGTAAATGACACCTGTTACACATGGCACGTTTATTCATTCACACGAATAATATTTTTTTCACAATTGACATTTTTTCATGTCTCGCATGATAAGCAAAAATATATATACACAGAATATATTAAATTTGTTTAAAGTGAGAAAGAAATGACGTTCCTAGGAATTGTATTAAAAAAAAGTACTTTACATACAACTTTGTAAGCTTTTACAGCACAATAACAAAAAAAAAAGTTTAAAATTGATGATTATGAAAAATTCCAACCTCGCTCATTCGTTGACAGTTCATTCATTTAAACAAATTATCGATTTAATTAAAATAAATTAACTGAATCAATGCAATGAATAATCAATTGCGATGATTTCAGCATAAGATAAAGTTTAAGTCGCGAAAAAAATTCTTGAATGACAGTTGACATAAATCTAAGTGATTTAAATTGCGATATAAATTATTATAAGGCAGACTAGGTTGCTAGATTTTACAAACTAGTTCAATAGCTTCAAAGATAGCTTCAACCTGCTAAATAACGTAAATTCCAACTCATTATTCAAAAATATTCGGAATTCATCTTCAAATTCAAGAGTTATATCCAAATAAATTAAACATTAAATTCACAGAATCAATTGTTTTCGCTGGAAATTCCCCGGCTATTGAAAACAATACAACGAATTGCGTCATATCTATTGAAATTCTTTCTGTAATACCAAAGAGCTTAATAATAAATCCATTGATCAACTATATTGTCCAATATATAAGCAGGTATTTTTAATAGACATACCTAAGTCAACCCTGACGATTCAGGAAACCAGCAGCCTACGAGACAAGCTTGACAAGCGAAAAGATTTAGGGCTAGCCTCACAGACACATTTCCACCTTGAAAAACAGCTAGTTTTAATTAAATTTTATTTAAATTAAACAAAATAAGTAAGACAGCATTTGCGTTTAGGGCAAGTCAAGCTAGAAGTCAACATTGATTCACACGAGAATGTAAACAAGTTGAAATGTAAAAATCACCAAAAATATACAAAACTATTTACATCGAGTATGGAAATCAGATGAAAATTGAATCTGATGCAATTATTGAGTCAACTTACAAAATCATAACGCTGAACAGGTTCGTTTATTAATATTCAAATGAAATAAGCAAAACTAAGCACTTTTTATGGAGGATAGAATAATGTCTGGCTGGAAATAACTGGCTGTATACAATTCGAGGCGAATGGCTTTGATTAATCACACAATCTAGCTGATATTGTACTTCCCGCTATTAATATTATTGTAAAGTAAAATCCTCACGATCCATAAACAAGAGAGATAAACTAGTTAACTGGCAGTGACTCGGAGGGTAAAGTAATTTGATTCAATTAAATATGAGAAAAATAAACCATCAGACAGCGGCAAGGGCGGATGATAAAAACAAGATAACTCTATGATGTGGATAGGAGCGGGGGGATGGAATGAGCGAAAAAAAAAATTAAAGGAAATTGAAACCTCGACCAGATGTTCAATGGATGGTCTGTTTGGAGTGAAATAGACGAAAAATTACTGTTTATACAATTTTTTATCCTCTCTTACTGCTCTTTATACACATAAATTTATTTTCTGTGTTCTCTACAATATGCTACGGCATTTCGCACCATGTGGAAACACTTTGATTGAGTCCGATAATTGCCTTTTCGTATTTTCAACCAAATGCTTTTTGTTTGCCTTCCAACCATAACATATAAAAAATGCGCGAAAAAAACACATTACTTGGATATCTATGAAAATAAATGATGATGCCTTTTAAATTTGGTCCGATAGAAACCAGAATACATGCCATGTTTTACTATTTAACGTCAGATTGCTCTTTCAACTGCTCATTAAATACAATTTGCAATAATTAAGATGCCACCCACATTAATGATTCATATTCTACCTTAAGGCGAGTGCATCTTGTTGTCTCCGTTAAATTAAAGTGAATAGTAACATTATTATTATTATTGTCAAATGTAACTGATGTCACGTAAATAAACAATTCTCTTAGCTCTTTAATATGAGCATTGAATTGGCTCGTTATAGAACAACTGTCCCGTGAACGATTTAATTGGACGCAAACAAACAGCAGTAAGTAGTAAGTAAGCGAAATAATTAGTGTCGTCAAATGAAGGAGAAGAATACGCAATGTGCTTGTAAATGACACATGCTTATTATTCTCATTCTTCTACAGTCTCATTATGGCTCTCTGTATCGGTCGCATATCTCGTGAATTACTCATTCTTTTGTTGTTTGTGAAAAAAGTACTAAAAAATAATCATTTGACATTTTGTGAACAGACATGTAACAATAACAAAACGCATAGGCCAATCGAGACATATACACATGATGATGACTGCATAAAAGGCGCATTATGAGAAAAAAAAATAAATAAAATCAAATGTCAATTCTAATGTGCACATATATATTATTGTCTACAACAGTCTACAAAGTCAAATATTAGAGTGGGATGAGAAGAAAGACAATATTAAAAAGAAGAAGAATAATAATAACGATGGATACACATACAACATGTGCTGACGTTGAAAAGTATGCTTTTTTGAGAAGATTAAAGAAATGAGCGAGGATAGTTATTCTGCATTGGATAAAACGAATAACAAACGGAATGAGATTTATTGTGTTAATGTCGTTTGAGTAAATACATATGTGGCTTTCGCGGGCTTAATTTGAGGCTAATGTCTTAATTAGAGATGTTGTTTTCGAAATTAGCATGTTTATTGCTATTAATTAAGTAGAATCTGATGTGTTTGTACTTACCGTTCTGTCTGAATCCTTTAAAACTCTCAATTTAATTTAACGGCTTGAAATCTTTGGAAAAACTGAAATTTTCTGAGTATAATTTTTTCATAGCTTACTTTCCCTCAAAAAATTACAAAATCAAATTCAATTTTTACAAAACCGTTAAAAAAGCCCTGATTCAAATAAATTCAATATTTTTATATCCACAATAATAAAATTTTATACTGCAACTTATTGCCCAAAATAAGCATTCAACAAATCATTTTTGATGTCGTCTATAATGACTCATAAATTCGAGAAATAAAATCAAATACGAACCATTTACAGCAAAACTATCTGCTGTCATCCAATAATTGTTGTTGGGCTCAAAAATCTGCGCCTGAACAGAATTCAACAATGCTTGTTTTTATGGTTCTTTCTCTCAGCGCGTCGCATTTTCATCGAAAGTGCCCAAATCTTTACCACTGAGAATAATAATATAATATCGCAGAACAGAGAGAAATGTGTGTATATATGGTGTATGGTAATGTTATAAAAATATATATAAGCGAAAAATGTGTAATGCAAAAAGAATATCGTTTGTCGAGTCGAGACATTTTAGCAAAAATCTGGCGCCGTAAGTTAAAAATACATTTTTCTTATTTTTCTTCTCTCTTTCTTGCTCATACCGCTTCTTTTTTTATCTCTTGTGTATTTGGATTTAATACAATAAAAGCGGTGAATATATTCTTCTGATTCTTTAATTCAATCGCTTTGAATTGACAATGCATTCAGTCTGTGCTTCTGGTCACCCGCTGCACGAACTTTTGCACCATTGTTTTCGGTATATTTTTTTTTTTCAATTTATCGCGCTCATCCAAATGGGCTCTTGATCATCATCCATTCCATTAAAGTAGATGCATATACGAGAACTTTTTGGGGTTCATTCACTTATGATATACTTATTTGGGAGGGGAGGCTTGAGACACTTCAAAACAATAAATTTTCTTACATTTCATCGCATGGAGGAGTTTTAATATCGAATATTTCAATAGACGTCATAAATGGATGAACCCTAAAAGATTAAGCAAGTTTTAAGGAACAGAAAAGAACCACAAAAAAAATATTCACAACCCATTCGAATATTATACATTTTGAGATGGGTCAATGTTGTTAAAAAAGAACGAATAACACGCCATAAAAGCGACATTTACGGTCACCACAAGTTGTTGCTGTTATGTTTTATTCCTTTTTTCTCAACTTTTTTTTTTCTTTTTTGCATTCTCAAGTGCGCCTTCTGTTCTGCCTGAGAAACATATTAAGAAAACATCGATGAACTTTAACTGACTTCTTATTATTCATCTCTTCCACCACTTATGCGATACAACATTCCACAAGATTTATTTTCTGTTGCATCTTTCTTTTTTTGTGCATGCATTTCACACACTGAATTTATTTCTCATTTTAATGAGATGAAAATGTGCGAAAATGAAGGCATTGCGGTTACGTCTGGGATTTTTTTTTTAAAAATATGAAGACCTTGTTTGCATACTTTCCGTCAATAGTAATCTGATGACTTTACATTGTTGCCTTATTATCCCAAAGTGTCAACAGACATTATAATCTGTAATGAGGATCGAGACAAAAAAAAAGTTTATTGAATTATGACAACAATGTAAAGTTTTAATTATGAAAACAGGAAAGGAATCTCAGTAGCAATTATCATAAATTCGAGAGGATTTGGGACGAAGATTCATTTTTATTGGACATTGTTGATGTTTTTCTTTCTTTGTGGGGAAAATTAAATTTTCTGATTGTTTTTACGATAATGATGCCCTTTATAAATTAAGTCTAATTGACTGTCTAGTTGATTGATTTGTTGGATGACTAATTAGCTTCCTAATTGCAAATTATTCTTGAAATATGTTAAGGATTCAAATCTTACAAAACCGTTAAAATTTGAATCTTACAAACTTGTTATAATTCAAATCTTACAAAACCGTTAAAATTTGAATCTTACAAACTCCTTATAATTTAAATTTTACAAGACCGTTTTAATTCAAATCTTACAAAACCGTTAAAATTCAAATCTTACAAAACCGTTTTAATTCAAATCTTACAAAGCCGTTAATATTCAAATCTTAAAAAGCAATTAATATTCAAAATTTCTTAAATCCTTCTAAATTAATGTTCCCAACACAATCCAGCATGTTTTAATAATAAATAACACCAACGATTTTACTATTTTCTGCTCCAACATGCCAAGAGAGCAAAAAAACTCTTGACTTCCATAAATACCACGAAATGTCACAGCATTTCATTCACAATAATTTTCATTTAATATTCATAAGTATGGTAAATAAAGCGTCATCTAAAAACTTTTATTTTTTGTGCTGTCGCAGGCGTCTCAAATTAAAAACAATTTTTTTTTTGCTTCATTCGTGGAGAAAGAAATGAATGAAATTTTTTTTAAAGACGAAAAAAACTTCTTTTCCGCCTATAAACATTGTGGAATTTTGTTATTTTTATGAACATGTGTTATTCTCACTGCAATAACATTTACAAGCAATTCATTCAGATAGTCGACGACAAAATTACCATGCATGTGAAGTCAGAGTGTGTGAAAATTGTATTTAATAACCCCCATAATCAAAACTTGCACAAATGTAATTATTGGAGGATACGAAGCTGTCAAATGCGTTTAACAGCACTTGAAAATAAAAATTGATTTGTGCTTTAAATGAGCGTTAAATTGATATGTCACTGAAGGTGCAATAAGCAATTTTTTCATTTTTGTTTTTTTCGTTGAGCTCAGATGATTAATTATTCAGACGTAAACGTGCATGCTTAAAAGTCGCCTTTGCCGTGTTGTGCAATATGTTAGCTAATTTTTCAATGTGACTTTTTATGGTCCATAAAACATACAGACATCTTACTATAAGGGGTTTTCCTTATTTCTATTAACATTCGTCTTGACATTCAATAAGCCGCGAAGCTACTTGAGACGAGTATTATCGATTAGAATTCAAGTGCTTTTTGAGAATATTTGCTAATTATTTATGTGAGAAAATATTTCTTTGTAACTGATTTGTAAGCTTTGAATTTAATTTTACAACATTCAAAATATTTTCAACCGTTGAAAATTCAAAACATTTTCGATCGTTAATAATTCAAAATAATTTCCAGCCGTTATTTATATATAATATTTATGAAAATCAATCAACACATGCTTGTGATTAATTACCGACTAATGATGAAAACAATTAATAATGACAGCCACTTGCAATTTCGCAAATGTGCAGTCGATGAAGCCACATGGTGATAGAATCATTTTCGATTTTTCTTGAATTTCTCCCACACACATGCACGACTAAGATGAGATGAAAAAAAAAATATTTATTATTGACATCAAATAAGAATTTTTATTGAGACGATTATATATTTATACTTACTTATTTTTTATTATTTTCATTGCCAGGTGTCAATTCAATGTCATCATTATTGGAAAAAGATGCAGGCTTTTGCTCAGGAAGCTCAGAGCATGAAGATGATCATCATTCGCATGATGGACTTCATAGTCCAACAGATGCATCTGAAGACTCAGTTGAGGTGAAATTTACACCGATTCTTAAAAATAAAAGAAAAAGCTCCGAGCCATCACGTGTTTTGCCTGATCCCGATCAAGGTCCATTAAAGAAGCGCTTCCGATATGAAGAATCGAGAATACAAAAGTCTGAAACAATCACAAATAATAATAACAATCATCTCCATCGACCTTGGGCCCTTGCCGCAGCAGCTGCACATTTACAGCAACAACAACAACAACATCATTCAAATCCAGCTGATATTCTTTTGAGGCATCCCGGTGTCACGACTCTCCATCGTGCAATCATTGACACCGAGCAAGATCAGCCACTTGCGTTGATTTCAAAGAAGCCTTCAACTTCAATTAGCAGTAGCAATAGCAGTAATAAGAGTCAATATCATCATCAGCCACAACACCACATGATGTCATATGAGAACTCAATTGAAAGCTTAATTAAGAAGACCCAAATTAATAAACTTCAAGCAAAAGCACTTGATGCATCATCAACAGCAGCTGTGACACAAATGACCTCCTCAGACTTCCCCTCACCACCATCATCAACATATATACCTCAAGCACCTCCATCAGAGATTTCATCACCGCCATCCGTCATTATGGGCAAGTCGAAATCATCACAACGTAATTATAAGAATATGACTCGTGAGAGGCGAATTGAGGCAAATGCACGTGAACGGACACGAGTTCATACAATCTCAGCAGCATATGATACATTAAGAAAATCCGTACCGTCTTACGCAAGCACTCAAAAATTATCAAAATTATCCGTGTTAAGAATCGCATGTTCCTATATTATGACACTAAGTCGATTGGCTGGTGAAGACTACTCAATTGATCAAAGCTCACCGCCTGTTCAAGAATGTGTAGATGCTGTCACACGAACAATTCAGACTGAAGGCAAACTCCGACGGAAGAAGGATGAATAAATAAATATGAAAATTTATTTTTTTAAGATGCACAACTTCCAGTGAATGAGTCTCGCTGATGCCCGACTTGAACATTATTGAAATGGATGTCACATGACCACCAGAGCTTCCATTGCTGTCAAAGCTGCCACACGTGTCATATGCAGCTCGGGTCGAATTTTAGAATATTTTTGTTGATTCTTATTTTTATATAAAAAAAAAAGAGCTTCCAACTGGTTTGGAAATATTGAACGCTTATTGAGTTGATTTTTGTGGGACTTACCGCTAATTAAAACACTGTAAATATTAACGCGAAAGGATAAAGCGAGTCAATTGATTATTATGATTGTTTAAGTTTAAACAATTACAAGGACGTGACTTTGCAAAAAATAATAATAATATTTTAAAGCTTGTTTTTTCCTTAATTTTTTTCTCTTTTGAGATCTGAGTCTGTAAATGTTTTTTTTATTCGCAAATAAGGAATATAAAACTAATGTTGATAAGAATCAAGAAGAATAAAATCCAGTACAAATAAACAACGATTTAAAGAATTCAAAGTTGTTGTTTCCAGGCACAATTTGTTTTTTGAACTCTCCATTGCACTTGTTTTTCATTCAAATTGCATTTTTAAAATGCGAGATTTAAAATTAAATTGTATAAATTAAAATGACAATAAATGACTTTGTCAATTAGCAAAAATGTGCCAAAAAATAATATACACAAAATGAAACTCAGATGTTTAATTATTGCAACAGAAATGCCAAAATGTTATGTGAAAAATTTTAAATTTGGATTAAATTCGTGGAAAATTAATCAAGTTGAGGTTGGGGAAGTTTTAGTTTGAATTGTGAAGAATTTACTAAAGTTTGTTTTGATATTTTATAAATTTCTTACAATAAAGTTCAAATTGTTTCAAAAATTGTAGAATTTCTACAAAGTTTATTTACTTTTGCAACATTTAGCGAGAAATATTAATTTTCATTTCAAAACTTCATTGTTTCACATTAAACTAAAGCTTTTCTGCTTTAAATGATTAAAAAAAGAGTAAATCAAGTTAACGGAACTGATCAATAGTCTAATTTTGATCATTTTCAATAAATTTTTGATCATATTTTGATCAATTTTGATAATTTCTGATTATTTTCATCACTCAAGATTATTTTTAATTACTTTAATCAGTCCCAAAAGCTTAAAAAGAATTGAGTCAAGGCTTTTTGATCTAAAAGATTCTGATGAAAATAAGTTTAAAACAATACTAATTAACTTATTGGTAAATCTTCAAAAATTGACAAAAATTCATCGAGTTTAATTTATCATTAATTGTTCTAAGTTGACAAAGTTATTTTAGAATATCAAAATGAAACAGACAGAAACAACAACAAAAAGCCTTGAAAAGGATCTTTAAATTATGAAGTCATTAAACTATTATTGCATAAAGTTTTCAAATTATATCTCAAAATTATATTAAGGTGGTTAATTGTGATTAATTAAACGAAGAGAAAGTTTTGATAAACATTTTAGGTAGAATGAAGTCAAATTGAAAATAAAATTATGAATAAAACATTTAAAAATCAATTTTTTAATTCTTTTAAACTTTTCAGAATTCGATTGTTATTTTATTTTCAGAATACTTGATTTTTGGTGTGATTTGATCATCAGTTATAAGTTTTAGTTGTTTTGAGACGTTAATTAAATTATTTGTTGATAATTCTAATGTTTATAAAACTTAATTCCTTAAAATTTGTCATATTTGCATAACTTTATTTGAAAAACTTAATTAACTTGATCACGGTTAAATGAAATTTCAATTTGCAATCATTTTGTATTATTTACTTACTTTAAATTCTAGAGCTTTTGTATTTTGTTCAAAATAATATTTTTCTGCGCAATAAGCTTGATAAGCTACTCCACAAAAATCCCTGAAATCTTGGCTTCTCTGTAAAATCTTCAAATTAAAATTATGGTCTATAAAAACTGAGATTTATTTCGAGTGTCACAATACAATCGTGATTTTTAAGCAAAGCTTTTAGGCTTTTTTAAGCAATTTAATTTTAAAGGCTGAATTTTTTTAAGTTTGTATCATTTGTCCTTAAAACATGGAGTATTTAAGTATAAAAAATGTCTTTTAGGACTATTAAAAAATAACAAATATTCAAATTATCATTAAACGACACCTAAAATTTATTCCAAAATTTTGATAGTTCCGTTTAATAACAAAAACACCATAAAATTTTAAATTTCATATTTTTTAAAAACATTGTAATAAATTATTTCAATGAACAATGACTCGACAGGAGCTTTTGACCAATTAGCAACAAAATTAGTAGTTTTTAAAACATCATAAAAGTTGGAATGAATGGATTTTTAATATTCTTTGATGAAAGAAGCGGGATGAAGCAATAAAAAATGTTTAATATGGATTAAACCCGATTAAACTATTAAAGTTTGGCGTTTAATTTGTAAAACTTGAAACTTAATTTTTTAACCAATAAAAAGTCAAGCAAAACTCAACATTAGATCCTAGACTTCATTTTGAAAAGGTTTGATCTCAAACTTAGAAGCTAGTTTTTTTTTTACTGACCCAATCTCAATATGTTGATACATAGAACCCACATATTTTTAAGGACATCAGCAATTCTAATTCAAAACCAACTCACAATAATTTCAACTTTACTCATTCGAAAAATCAACAAAAAAAGTCTATTTATGAGTTCATTACAAATTCTTATTGTACTTTTTGCAAATCATCGATTACTGATAAGAAAAACTTAAACCAACGCTTTCAAAACATCTAAAAATAAAATTCTAAGAAGCAAATGAGAAGTAAACAGCTGTGCAATCTCATTTAATTACGACATATCGTAAAACAATATGAAAAAGAGCTGATGCTCATGATAATATCTTATCTATAGTCAGTTTATTATTAGCTTGAATAAATAAATGCAAGGAAGAAGTAAAATTCTGCGAGGAAAAACTCAATTTTAGAATTTCAAGTACACAACTTGTTATCATTTTTATTGCTGCGTGAAATTTGTATTAAGATGATTTGTTTTTTATTATGTGCGGGTGGTAAAGCTTTATTACTGCTTATTTGGGTAGTTATGACTTGAATAAACGGATTGGCATTTGAATTTTTGCAAATTATGAACAATCAAGAAATTTTTCAAATGAATCGCTGATATTGACTTAAAATCAACTAGTCTAACGTATAGAACTTGATGAGCTGCCTTATGCTGCTTTTTTCTTGGAAATTAAAGCTTTTCTGATAGATTGATGATTTCAAGTGAAAATGAAAAATTCGATCGAAAATTGGAAAACTTTAAATTTGGCGGGAACCTAATAAACTCTTTTAAATCATAAGTCAAATGACATCCTTACTGACATTCCTCAAAGTTTAGAATTGTAAATAAATTTCACGCGCGAAAGGTCAAGTCAATGTAGTCAATTAACAAGACTCTAGTCAAAACAAATTTGCTGATTAGATTCGTCATACAGCACCCCATATGATTAAAAACAACAAAAACAGATGAGTAGAAAAAAAAATGAGGAAATTACTGATGCGGCATTTATGAAGTCATCAATAATAAGTGGGAACATGTTTTCTATCCATTTAATTAATCAAAGTGTATTATATCACTCAGATTCATTCACTTCCTACACACAAAGTGCTGAAAATTTTCAAGTACTCATGCACCTGAACTCATGTCATAATATTTCCCGATAACACAAATTAAACAAGTGAAATATTCGATAAAAAAAGAGAAAACAACGTGCTTTATCAGTATAAATACACGTCTGACGTGGATCATTATCGGTGAAATTATTTTTCTATGTCTTACATACTTTTTATTCTGTCAAACGCGATAATAAGCGAGCACAGGTGGATTAATATACAAAGTACAATTTTCCTTCACTTCCAATATCCAGTTTTGCTTCTGATTTATCAATGAAATTACAATGATGATAGGGAGCGAAATGTGATGAGTAGACGGTGATGATTGATAGACGCCAACTGCATGTGACAAAGAGTGAGTAAGGAAAATATAGAGCAAGGCTTTGTTGATTGGAATTAAGGGTGTTAGATTATAATTTAGATAATGAAAGATTCTGAAATTTCTCGGACATTGGACTTCTGTCGATTGAATAACTGCTGCGCACGTGAATCTTGAGTTAGCTAAATGTTCATGGATGTCATTCAATATTCATCTTTAAAGGATAAACATTGCTGTCCATTTTATCAAGTCGGGTTTAATAATAATAATGTGTGAAGGGCCCAGCCTTTCAGCTAGAGGCACTTGCGATTCAAATTAGAACAGAATCTATTGTACCACACCCTTTAGACCTACAGTTTATAGTGGGATCCGAACCACTTGCAAGCTCTCCACATTGCAAAGACACGAGTACGTCATAAGACCTGATGTACCCTGCAATGTACCTAGTCACAATTCGTGTGCGCAAGATGCCGTAAGGAAGTCATCCAGATGCTAGTATATCCTTGTATACCTAGCAAAGGAGGCATATTCTGTCATCGGGTTTAGTGAGATTCGATTCCACAAAAGAGGTGATCTCTAACCTCCAGTCGACTATCCTTGCCATTCGGCCTCTGAGGTAATTTCCATACTTTGAGGTTATAAACATAAAACTTGAATGCATGCTCAATCTACTCTATATATTCTCTTACAGACAAAGTCCTCAACTTTTTACCATATTGCGTCTCAAATTACCCCCTGCAAAATCGTCAAGCTCTGTTTTATGAAAGTCACTCAACAGTCTTATTTGAGGAAGATAAAACTTAACAAATTACGATAAAAATGTTCGCATTTTAATCCGAAACCAAGAAATTTTTTTAAGGTGTCACGGTTTAAGGTACACAAATCATAATATTTAGACATGCAAAGGATTTATTTTATTCGCGATAAAAAGTGACGGTTGTAAAATAACTGGAACTGACTGGATTTTGGTTGTTATTCACTGCTGGTTTTTGAGATGCTAAAAATAATTTTATCTGGTCTTATTTTAAGCACGAATGTGGTAATTTAGTAGAGTTTATCTTTAGCATCAGGTGACGAGATGACTTTTGGACCAGAAGTTGGTGACTTGCTTTCTTTTAAGTTGGGATTAGTTTAATTAAAATGGTTTTGCCCCCAAAATAAATTGCCATTTTAGCAATCGATGTATGATTAGATTAGTCTATTGGATCAACAACCAAAAATCCAAAAATTCTAAATGTCAAATCATGTCCAAACTATCACAACTCATATTATTCTCATACTCAAAGGTCTATGACTGTAGATAAAAATTTTCAAAGCAGGTGGTAATAACAAAAATTTGCCCACTTGAGAGATTTAAAGTACATGCGAACTCAAAATTGCCAAACAATTTTTTCACCT